CCCATAATATTAAAGACTTCTAAAGAGAAAAACCATCCTTTTATGCCATTAGCACCAAATCACTGATAAATAGCATAAGAAAATGCTTAAGAGAAGGTAGAACTTTGTACAAGCAATCAACTTCACATTCAAGTGTACTGAGCACACTGAACAAGTGCATCATGGAAGCGAGTGCACAGTATTATTTTTACTGAACTTTCAATATCCTGATGCTAAAATTGAGTTAAGGTCCCCCTGCTCTCTTTGAAAGTGCTAAGAGTGCAAAGAATTGGCAAAAGGGTTAGAAGGTTGGAAAAAATTTAAGATTAATGCCTGTAGAATTCTAGAGCTACTACTGTCACCATCAACATGGAGTTTTCCAACACACAGCATGCACACTCAAATAAAGACAGAGAGACAAACAGAAAGAAGACACCAGATACTCCTTTAATGTTTAAATAATTTTGGGGCCAAGTGTAAGATCTGAGATACATGATTCATTCTGTGATATATCCGTTGCTTTTCAGTCTGCAGACAATAGGAGCTTTTCCATGGAGATACATCAGTAAAATTGGCATTGCTCTTCAAGAACATACATCAAATATTGCAATCAATAAGACAGTTTGAAAAAAACCCTAAACTTGTGAAGAGATCAGAAAGGTTTCTGATTTAGAATATTATAAAAACAGTGATTCATCAAAGTCAATGAACAGTTCTTAACATACATACTATGCTGTCGTTATTCAACCCAGAATCTACTGAATGTTCATGATCCTTCTTCCCAGCAGCCACTTTTTTCTAGAAATATTATGTATTATGCAATATTATGTATTACACTGGTTAGAACACCTATAATAAGCATCAAATCATACCATTTGTTAATGTGTTTATCAGTACTTTTACTCAATTATTTTGGAGCATGGTCTCAATAACAAGACTTCCTAATACAAACTCAAGCACAATTTCTGTCAGTTTTATCATCTTTCCTTTGTAATGCCCAGAGAAGCAATTTTGTAAGACCCTCTAAAGGCCCACATATACACAGACATGGTAGAATTTTAAATAAATTTAAAATAGACATAGAAAAAATAGTGCAAAAGACTGTAGGCATGCAGTTTCTGCAGTTTTAAAGTAGCAAAAGCATGTTCACACTCAGCTTAAGCCAATCTGAAAAAAACCCTTTGGTTAAATCAAAGTTGGAAGCATCCTCTGTGTTTAAACTGATTTAAAAAAACATACTTTAATTTAAAACAGTGGTACTGTGTGTAAGCCTTTGTTTGCTAGGCCACATAGGCCATTAGACCTTAATATAACTACTACAATACCATGAACCAACTACACTCTTGGTTCAGCTGTTTTTTTTGTAACCAAGGGCTTTTGCTGCAGATGTATTGAAATAATTTTAATTTTGATCAAATGTAATCATTACTTTCACCTCATTAACCCAATTTCACCAAGGAATTAATTTACCCTCTTAATGATGAACTTTTTTACTGTTGGAGGTTCATGCTAGCACAGCTTCTAGTTGCAAGAGTTGGCTTAGCTCCACCTGTAAGACAACTTGTGTATATTGGCTCACTCTCTGTGCAAATCACCCAAAGGCCAACACCTTCAGGAAGTGTTAGAACAGAAGAAAACACACAAATAAGACCTGGAATTATATTTCAGATGAGTAACAAGGCAAGACTACAAGATGATATTCCAAATTTTTAAAATAAAGATCTTTATTTCAAAATAGTGTTTGCGAGTAGCACATCCAGTTGATATAAAACACAAATAGCAGTTTGCAGAACCATATGCTGAAACATTGTGCAAGTTCAAGAGAACTATTATAAAACAGACAGTTAAGTTCTGATGTTTTCATTTCATTCAAACCATATTTTCACATTTGACTACTAGTTCTGGTTGTTTTAATTACACAAGGTGCTTGAAAGATTGCTTATAGAGTAAAAATTACAAAATAGGACTTAAGAATATAAATATAGAAAGGAATTCCTCAAACTACATACTAATATTCTCTGCTACAAAGATACATTTTACAAAAATGCTAATAACTCTATGACAAACAGTAGCAGATTACATTTAAATGTCAAACAAAACACACAATTCTTTTTCCTTTTCAATTGTCTGTAATACTTTGATACTTCTAATCACTATGAGGTTTAATAACACTATTTTCACTTCCTAGTATTTCACAAATGAAGTCGGAAAAAGCATATCTGCATGTGTGTGTGTGCATGTGTGTGAGACAGAGCATGTACACATGCATATATGCATGAACAAAGTTCTTGTAATTATTACTTGTATTTTAACAGTATGGAAGTGAAAGCCTAATAGTAAATACATTTCCCAGGCTTTCATAATTACAATGAATCAAAACCCCCTCTGAGTTCCTGGAAGTAAAACAAGGGTTTATGCAAAGCAAACTGTATAGGTAAGTTTTACACAGAAAAAGGACACCCTATACTGGTGTTCTGGGTTTTTTAAACCTTATCATCCTGTAGTAAAGCAATTTTTAGTAAGATATAGTATTGACAAAAAGGATGATATTAAATTGTGCACTTTTCCAAGCACAAAATGGGAACTGCTCCAGCAGGGCATGGACACTAGAGCAGAACAAGAGACTGGAAGTCCTCTTCTCTGTCCCCAAATGCACAATCAGACAATAAGCCATAATTCACCTCACTGTGACCAAAAGGACACCAGGAAGGCCAGCTCATGGTGCTGTCTAGCCCCAGAGAATGTGTTCCCACCACCACGGTGTCCACCATAGACCTACAATGGGCAAAGCACTGTCTAGACTTTTTCCAAGGTGCATCAAGTCCCAGTGCTCACTGTGATGCCCCCAATTTCCCCAGAGGCATTATGTCTTACAAAGGCAAAATGCCTCCAGGCACTGCCACTCAACCAAGGCACCTCTTCCCCCTTCCCAATGTGGTTCAGACTTTTAGGAGTCATAATTGAGCCCCATGGGCCTGATTCTGAGCACTGGGAATTTATCAATTTAACTATATGATTCCTTATTAGCCTGCCTATTACCATAATATTTTTGTGCTCCCTAGCTGGAGCTAAACCACTGGAAAATTCTGACATTAATGGAAAAAGGGTTTATGCAAGACAGATCAGCATCTGGCCCAATATATGGGAAAAAACCCCAAGCAACATAATAAAAATAATTCTTGTAGTAACTATCTAATAACAGATTAGGAAACTCTCTGAGGGTATATCTGCATTGCATTGGAATACACCACAATATTGCATATGTTAAGGCAAAATGTAACACTTCCCATCTCCCTAGTATAGCTGAGGATTTGGCTATGTTACCTTCAGTGATAACTTGCAGTAGTAGGCACTACTAGTCAGTGTTCACAAGAATCTTTGGTTAATATCAGACCATCTGTTGACTTAGCTTCACCTTCCTGTGATCTTTAGCTCGTCACATTTGCATAAACTGAATTCACTACAGTGACAAGAGATGTTTATGGTCAATTCACTCAACACAAATATGCTATTGACTACTGATAATTCTTGTAACAAGGCCTAAATTTGTGAGATCCAGCAATCTACAAATGGAAGTGCAAACAGAAAAGTTTCTGAGATCAAGATGAGTACATGGTTTCCACAGAAAAGTTCAAGAGGTACAGACATGGAGGGGAGAAACTAGCAGATGGTAAAGAAAATGGGTAACCTTAGCTCCCTTAATCTGGGAACGCCATAAACACCTTTACGTGCTGAACCAAATTCATTTCACAACACAATTATAAAGAGAGGTATTTCTTGGAAAACCTAAATAGTATAATAGGGGAAAAGTTGCCCAACAAATCCTAACAGTATTTTTCAAACATTTTAAATCCCAATTATTTTATTTTTAAAGGATATCATACATTTTTGAATGTCCTTTTTTACACAGTAATTTGAAAATAACACTTAAAATCTATCTGAGAATAAACAGTTTTGCACTAGCTTTTTGCATTCAATGACTGAATTCCTTGATAAAGTCAATTTAAATTTGGTCTTTATGCCCTGGTTAAATTCTGCTATCCTCTATGGACTTTTCTCACACAGTGAAGAAATAAGTACTAAGTTATGTGGCACTGTCTCTAAAGCCACAAACACTGACAGGGCCACTTAATGTACAGGTTTAAATTCTTAAGTTAACTTCTAATAATTTCCTTCTTAAAGCAAAATTTTGAAGATTTGTTAGTCTATCAGTTTGTTACTCTAAGGATATATTTCATGTCTACTACACAGATTTCCAGAATCTTTTTCTAAAAAGAAGCATTTCAAGTAATAATAGTACTGCATTAAAATATAAGCTCTCTATCCTGTCTTGATTGATAACAAAGAGATCTTGGTACTTCTGGTCCATGGCAAAACTTACATTTGACTTTAGTTCATCAGATCTTCCCACAGTATCAATATTGACAATGGAAAACACCAGGAATCTCACTCTCTCAAACCAATGAGATACTCAAAAATGAAAGAAATATTGCCAACGTGATCAATGTCACAGAACCAAAAAGATTTCTGATGCTGGCTTTTTAATGAAATTTAAAATAATAGAGCAAAGTTGCTTTCAACCCAAAGTGATATAAAGACATTTTGATTTTCAGAATGCCTGTAGAGGCATGTTATGCATGGAGGCATTTGAGTGTTAAAGCATGAAAGTAGGTAAAGGCAAATACTTAAGGCTCTACCCTGCAGTCTGTTCTCTGATCAAAACCTATCACTCAATTGAAATGGCAATTTTGCCTTCATACAGCCTGTGGTATCAGGCCTATAATTTGGTTTCAATAAAGTCTTCCATTTGCAAAGCCAAAAGGAAGCTGGAATGTAGCTTTAGTTTCACATACAAAACTATACAATTTGTGTTAGAAATCAGATTTGAGAATTGCTTTTTAAAAAATATTTATATAAAGGGAATTAACAGTGCAATACCAGTCAGTTGTGTGAAAATCTTACCTTATCTTTCTCCAAATGTATTTAAAGAAAAGCTCTCCAGTTTTATAGAGAATAAAATAAAAATGGATAAATATTTCATGATGGGAAGCAGATCCCACAGCATTCCATGCAGATCTCCAGGCAGTCTGAAGATTCACAACATGCATCCATTATGCCACAGTCCATATCACACGGGCAGTTACAGTCATCCCCCATCTGATCCCCACAGCAACAGCAGCAGGACTCCGATGTGCAGATGCCACAGGATGCTTGTCCCAGAACAATGTTACAGAGGGTGAGAAATTCACAGAACAAGCAAGCCAGGATACAGTGAACACAACAATCTTCATATGCAACAGTTCAGTGGCATGTCATGAAGAAAGAAAACAAAACAAAAGAGGAAAGAAAGAAAAGAGTAAATCGTTAATATGTTACTCTAAATCCAGATACACCACATGTCAAATAAATAGTTGAATGAAAATTATTCAGACTAGACATAATCTAACAACACAAAAAACATGTTTCCCATCTTCACGGTCACTTTTGCAGCCTGACTTACCTCCAATTCAGTACTGGTTTTGGTGCAAATTTCATGTCACCACTTCACTTCATGCGAATCCCAAGTACTAAACATCTGCTTAGATAAATTTCTCTAGTAATTTAATTTATAATATATCCATATCTATTATCTTTAGTTATAACTACTTCAAGCAGGCTCACAAAGTGGCTAAAAACAATAACTGAAAAAACAGCTTATGAGGGAAACTATCTAAAATTATTTCCAGCCTCTCCAGTGCAATCTCGCCCTTCTGAGCCTGATTTGTTGGCTTGATACTTATGAAGAAAAATATGAGAATTGTTGCAACATTTTTGATTCCTTTATTGTTTTATGCACACCTTAATACTAGCATAACAGCATGTTATATGCATTTCTTACTTTTGAAATATGTAAAATATTCAGTCAAAACAGAGATTTTTCTATTGCTTTTCTACCCAGATCAATTGGCAATGCTTTTAATACATTACTTTAATCTTTAGTAGAGTTCATAAGTATACCTGAACATCAGTATCCATCTCTTACAAGCACTGCTAAATTATATGAGATAACTGAGATGTCCACTGAACTATCTGCAAAAAATATGGCACCCAAAGAGTAAATATATGGAATAACTTCAAACAAGTACTGCATCCATGAGACATGACAAGAAAGCACCAAGACTACACACGTGCCAGCGAAAAGTAGACTTCAGGAGTGAGGGATATACTCAATTGTACATAATATGTATAAATTTATAGGTATAAAGATATTTAATTTGTAAGAGGCAGTGAATAGCCATTCAGAAAGAAAATGAAAACTGGAAAGTACAAGAAGTGTCCAGGATGGAGAAATATTTTTCTTCCCTAACCTCAGCTTTTATTCTTCTTTTTCCTGCTTGCAAATCTTGAACATTTTAGTCACAGACAGCTGAAAAGTGAGAAAATGGTCTGGGGAAAATACCCTGTACAATCTCACCCTTTC